ACCTACAGTGTCCAAAACCAGCCACTAATGCATGCATACCAAGGAGCCTGGATAGACATAACCAAGTCGCATATGTGCACACGCAGGACTGTATACAGAGAACATGTGCACATGCGTGTACACTTTTCCAGATGTGCACATCCGGGTACACCCCACCTCCAGGAAAGAACAAAAATACCCAGACGGGTACACACAGGCACATCCGCCCCCAGATGAGTACACAAGATACTTCCACCCGTGCTGTGTGCATTCATGTGCACCCACTCTCGGCTATGTACAGCCGTCTGTACTCCCCAAGATGTGTCCATCCCAGGGACTCGCGGCTGCAAAGGAGAACAGGAATTTCCCTGGAGGGTGCGAGGAAGAGGAGGATGAAGGGACCAAGCGCGCAGACCAAGCGCGGCAGAGCCCTTGGGCCCCCTGTCCGCCCTCCATCCGCCCTCACCATGGATGCCGGTCTGGTGCGCCATGGCTCAGCGTTCGGCTCGCTCGTGCCGTCGGAGCGCTCCGCTTGGTCCTGGCCCGGCTCGACTCGGCTCGCCTGGACCCAGAGCTCCGGAGGATGTGGCGGCGGCGCCCAGCTTCGCGCAGCTTCCCGGGCGGTGCCGCAGGACCCGCCCCCAGCGCGCTCCGCCCCCGGAGGGCGAGGCCGGCAGGGGCGGGCACTCGTGCCGCGCGTGCGCGCAGCGGGCACCGGGGTCCGGACGGCCGTGGGCCGCGCCGCTACCACCGCTGTGGCACAGAAGGGGCCTCCGGGTGCCCGAGGGGCGTGTGGGCGGGCGCTGGGAGGCCACAATCCAGGAGGCCTGTGGGCGGATGCGCGCTTGGGCGTGGGAGGGACTGTGCGTTTGCCTCCGAGGAGGTTTGAGAGTGGGGGCCGATGCAGGCGTACCCCAGTTTATGACACGTGAGGGGAGCTCAGTGTAGGCGGGCACGCGCGCGCGTGTGGTCGCGCTCGTGTGTGTGTGTGTGGTCTTGATGCCCGGACTTTTGTTCACAGGTGGAAGCCTAGACTGACCAGTCATCAGGTGCACGGTGAATGTGGTAGCTGGAGCCATACGCTGAGGAAATGAGGGGGTGAATTTTGGATCGAATATGGTAGGAGAGACGGGGTGACCTAGTAGAGTGGTGGGAAGTTTTCCAAAAAGAAGGTGCATGTGCTAAGGCCCTGTGGTTGACCGGAGCTTAGTCTGAGAAACTTCCCAATTCCTAATGAACTTGTCTCCATTATCAGAGACCTTTCCTGCTGCTAATGCTAACAGCCATTTTGCCGCTAGTATTCTTAATTTTTTTTTTTCTTTTGGTTTTCTGACACAAGGTGTCTCTGTATAACAGTCCTGGCCGTCCTGGAACTCGCTCTGTAGACCAGGCTGGCCTGGAACTCACAGAGATCCATCTGCCTTTGCCTCCTGAGTGCTGAGATTAAAGATGTGTACTAACACCGCCCGGCTTAATATTTTAAATAAAGATTTATTTATTTATTTTATGTATATGAGTGCTCTATCTGTGTGTACGACTTTATGCCAGAAGAGGGCATTAGATTCCACTAGAGATGGTTGTGAGCCACCATGTGGTGGCTGGGAATTGAACTCAGGACCTCTGGAAGAGCAGCCAGTGCTCTTAACCACTTAGCTGAGCCATCTCTCCATCCCCAGCAGCTAGTGCTCTTAACCATCTCTCCAGCCCTGAAGCTGGTTATTTAAAAATAAATGGGACTGGACATATGGCTCAGTGGTTAAGAGCACTTGCTGCTGCTCTTGCATAGGACCCATGTTTGGTTCCCAGCACCCACATGACATTTAACAGCTCACAACTGTCTGTAACTCCAGTTCCTTCTGGCCTCCTAGGACTAGGCACAGATGTGGTGCACAGAGATACATTGCTGGCAAAACACTCAGACACACAAAAGATTTGAAAATGAAATAAATACTTTAAAACTCAAAAATAGATAAATGAATAGTCTGGCACTGGAGAGATGGCTCAGTCATATGCAGGCATACGAGTTCAGATTCCTAGCGCCAGAATGAAAAAACTTGGCTTTACCCCCTGGGCCGGGCAGGGAGACCAGGGGGACTTCGAGGAGAGAAGTTCAAGAGACAGGCATTCAATACCTACCTGGAGCTCATTTGCCAGCCAGCTCAGCTAAATGGAGAGCTCCCAAGTTGAATGAGAGAATTAAAAAAAAAAAAAAGATAGAGACAGATGGCCGATGTCCACCACTGGGTTTTACATTACACTGGAACACACATGTGCACACAGCATATGTATGCACCACACACATAAACAAAATAAAAAAGAAAACACGGGGTTGGGGATTTAGCTCAGTGGTAGAGCGCTTGCCTAGCAAGCACAAGGCCCTGGGTTCGATCCTCAGCTCCAAAAAAAAAGAAAAGAAAACACAAGCAATAACTAACTAGTTAAAACAACCTCCTAGAGCTGGGGTACGGCTCAGCTAATGAGTGCTTTTCTAACATGTAGGAAGTCCTAGGTTCGATCCCCAGCATTGTATAAACCAGGTGTGGTGTCAAATAACGGTAATCCCAGCACTAAGGAGGCAAAAGCAGGTGGATCTCTGTGAATTCAAGGCTGTCCTGGTACACACAGTGTGTTCCTGACCAGCCAGGGCTACACGGTTAGATTCTGCCTCAAAAACAAACAAACGGGGCTGGAGAGATGGCTCAGAGGTTAAGAGCACTGACTGCTCTTCCAGAGGTCCTGAGTTCAATTCCCAGCAACCACATGGTGGCTCACAACCATCTATAATGAGATCTGGTGCCCTCTTCTGGCCTGCAGGCATGCATGCAGATAGAACACTGTATACATGAATAAATCTTTAAAAAAAAAAAAAACAAATAAATAGAAAGAAAAAAAGGTTCAAGACTAGCCTGGGCTAGTAGTGAGTTCCTGGCCAGCCTGGGCCACACGGGACTATGTCAACAAACAAGGAATCAGAAAAACAAAGTCAAACAAATGAAAACTGGACTGTATTCGGAATTTTACTTACCTGTAGGCAAAAATTTTAAAACTTTGATAAGAACTGTGATTGTCAAGGATGGGTAAATAGGCTATGGAAGCTTATGTAAAACAGTGTGATGACTGATCTTGAGTATGAAATTAATTTTCTAGGAGCGGAACCTTTGAGCTTTGTCTGTGAGGGTATTTCCAGAAGAGTTTCACTAGGAGGGAAGACCCGCCCTGAATGTGGGCAGCATCCTGTTGGCTGGGGTCTGAATCACTAGGGAAGAGTCACTGGGGTCTGAATAACTAGGGAAGAGTCGCCTCTTCTGGCAGCAGACACACTGTCCTGTTGCCTCTCATTCCTGATTGCCCTGCTTCGGCCCGCCTCCCCCGCATGGACTGAACAAGATCTTCCTCCTTCCGGTAGTTGCTTTTGCAGATACTTTGTTACAGCAAGAACTAAAGAAACTTAGGCAAACGGATCCTATATATCCCTCTCTTTGGTTGGAAGCAGGAGGGTGGGGTGTCTGGCTGTAACTTTCTCAGACTTTGCCCCTTACTCATACCTGGGTCAGGCCTTACCTCCATTATTAGCTCCTCATACCTGGGTCAGGCCTTATCTCCATTAGCTCCGTGCTCCTATGCCCTGAGTGTGACTGTTATTAGGTGGGCCCAGTAGGTTACCCCCCCCCCCAAGTTACTAGGGCAGCTCTGTTCCCTGGGACCCCTCCTCCTTGGGCAGGAGAAAATGCCAGCAGAGGAGGGCTGCCTGACTGAAGGAAGTGAGGCCTACTAAGCACTGACTGGGTTTAGGAGCAGAGGCAAAGGTAGAGAACGCCTCATCCATCCATCCTTGGGCCTTAGAGATTTTAAGTTGGTTTCCTGGAGAAAAGAGGAAGAGAGATCCCTTGAGTGGTGGTCTGACTCAGCTGCACGGTCATACTGCAAACGCTGGGCATCTGATACTTCCCCTCTGAGGGCCTGAGCTCTCCCTTATGAAATGGAAATTGCAGCCTTGCCGACGGGCACCTGGACTTAGGTGACAAAGTGACAAGTCTCTGTTAATGTGCAGACGTGAAGGGAGACACTGCTGCTAGCCCCCAACAGTGACAGCTACCTAGAGGTTAACAGACATTCTGAGCCAGAGTAAGTGTAGTACTCGGGAGGCAGAGGCCGGGGTGCCTAGTTTGAGGCCAGCCTGGTTTACAAAGCAAGTTCTGGGCTACATGGTGAAAGCCTGTCTCAAAACAAAAGAGATGCCAGTGAAATTCTTCTTCTTTTTTTTTTTTTTTTTCTTCCTTTTTTTGGTTTTTCGAGACAGGGTTGCTCTGTGTAGCTTTGGAGCCTTTCCTGGCTCTCTCTCTGTAGCCCAGGCTGGCCTCGAACTCACAGAGATCCACCTGGCTCTGCCTCCCGAGTGCTGGGATTAAAGGCGTGCGCCACCACCGCCTGGCATCAGTGCAATTCTTAACACTTCCCTCAGCAGCTCAAGGTTGTACCTTTGACAAGCTGGAAAAAGGAACTACGCTCCCCTTTAAATTCCCATAGGTTCCTCTTGTCACACGTCGCTCACACTCTAGGGAGGATCTTGTACTGTCCAGAGAAGCCATCTTGACTGTGGGGGCAGCCATTTGAGGATGAAGACCAGGGAGAACAAAACTCTAGAGCACTCTGGACACGCCCTTAGTCTGTGTGTGGTCTCACACCTCCAAGGACGTACTGTCTCTGTCCTCCCCTTTTGTAAGACGGTTGCCAGCAGCGCGAGGCTGAGGCTCTGTGTGGCACTCGCCCAGCACCCACTGGAGATGACTTCATGGTTCCTAGAGTAGAGGAGAGGGTTTCCCTACTCTGAGTCCCACAGGTGCGGGTGAGCCTTCGTGCCTGCTCAGTGCCTCTCTCGCCTGGCCTCGGTTTTCCTGCCTGTAAAGTGGGGTGGGTGAACGCGGTTCCCTTCTTCCGGGGGATGGCTGTGTTCACTGGCCGCACACCCGGGGGCGGGAGAGCCAGGAGGGGGCGTGGCCTCCCAGCCCAGGCCCCACCCCCAGGCCCGCTTCCTCCCTGGGGCGGGCGGGACGCTGGCGTCCTGCTCTGCGCGGGCAGCCCCCGGCCGCCACGCAATGTCCGCCGGCTGGTTCCGGCGCCGCTTCCTACCCGGGGGTCCACTTCCAGAGCCGCAGCCAGCGGGGCCGCGCTCCAGCCCTGTCCCCTATCACCGACCCCGCTTCCTGCGCGGCTCGGGCTCCAGCCCTGGCGCCCCCGACGCCTCGCGCCGCCCGGACTCCCGGCCCGTGCGCAGCCCGGCGCGGGGCCGCACGCTGCCTTGGAACGCAGGCTACGCCGAGTGAGTGTCCTTACCCCCGCGCCCCCTCTCTACCCCCTCCTTGATCTCGTCGGGTTCTGTGCTGACCTAGAAAACTGGCTGAGTGTGGACACTCCCGCTAACCCCCTTCTTGTCCTCACCCCGGGACTGTTGACAACATTCCTCCTTTTCCCACTCTGGCCTTTTCTTTTGGAGAAGGTTGGAGGTCCCGGGAGGGCTATCCCGCGTCTGGACCTTCCTTTATTCCGGCCTTTGGAGATGTGTGTCTCGCCTCGCACCTCACTCTGGATTTGGCCTATGCTCTATGGGATAGGGTTGGGACAGAGATGAGACCTCACAAACCTTGGGCCAGCCCAGTGTCTCTAAAAGGGCCTGGGCTCTGATTTTGACCCTAGTGACAAAGCCACTGAACAGTTAGAAAACTTACATAATTGGGGCTGTGTAAAATAACTGGCTTGCAGAGCAAGCGTGAGGATCAGAGTTCGGATCTCTAACAACCTTGTAAAAAGCTGGGCGTGGCAGTTCGGGCCTGTAATCTCAGCACTGGGGAGGCAGATGCAGGGAGATACAGGACTTGCTGGTCAGGCAGTCTAGTTGAATCAGTGAGCCCCCGGTTTAGTAAGAGACTGACCTGTCTCAAAAAACTAAGATGGAGCACAATAGAGGGAGAATCCCAATGTCCACCCTCTGGTCTGTGCACACACATGCACACTCACACACAAAATAACTTCAGAAAAAAAAAAAAAAGAAGAAAAGAAAAGTTGTCTAGGTGTGGTGTCAGGGACAGCACCCAGAAGCAGTTGTCCCGGGTGGAGTCTCTGTGCCACAGTGACATAGATGAGACATCACTGGTGATTTCATGGCCTCAGGATTATCAACGCAGAGAAATCTGAGTTCAATGAGGATCAGGCTGCTTGTGGAAAGCTGTGCATCCGGCGATGTGAGTTTGGGATTGAAGAAGATCAGGAGTGGCTGACGGTGTGCCCAGAGGAGGTGAGTACAGCCCTGCCAGAACCCCACTTTCAGGCTAGCGCCAGGATGTGCTGGTGGAGCCTCACAGCCCTTCCTATGCAGTTCCTGACAGGTCATTATTGGGCACTGTTTGATGGGCATGGTGGACCTGCAGCAGCCATTTTGGCTGCCAACACCCTGCATTCCTGCCTGCGCCGGCAGCTGGAGGCTGTGGTAGAAGGCATGATGGCCTCTCAGCCCCCTATGCATCTCAGTGGTCGCTGTGTCTGCTCCAGTGACCCCCAGTTTGTGGAGGAAAAGGGCATTCGGGCAGAAGACTTGGTGATTGGGGCCCTGGAGAGCGCCTTCCAGGAATGTGTGAGTGGGGCCTTTGGAGAGAAGGGATGTTTTCCCCTAGGGACTTCAGAAACTGGGGTATAGCTGCATACCATAGTCACCCCATTCTTTGGACTGTGGCGAGAAGGTAGTATGGATTTGTTCTTTCCTAGCCGTAGCTCTGTGGTCTTCAGCTTAATCCTCCATTTATCTGGTTCCCATTGTGTGCTAACTGCTCACCTGTACTGCCCTTGGCCCTCAGAGCAAGCACTGGTTTCTCTTCCTAGTTTGAATTACAGTTCCCTTGTGTGAATTCTCTTTACACAGGAATTCAGGAGCTAATGGCCAAGCTTTAGAGTTGGGGTTTGTAGGCTTGCTTGTGGGAATGCATTGTAAGGGGGTGGGGGAGGCTGGAGATGGCTGCCAGTTTGGGCCACAGCTGTGATACCCTTGGTTTGCTCCAGGATGATGTGATTGGGAGAGAGCTGGAGGCCTCAGGCCAGGTGGGTGGCTGTACAGCCCTGGTGGCTGTGTCCCTGCAGGGGAAGCTGTATGTGGCCAATGCTGGGGATAGCAGGTGAGTGGACCCTTGGAGGGTGGGCAGGGTAGTGGGCAGAGGGTACCAAAAGGGGTTGAGACAGTGGAAGAAGGGTTAGAAATGAGGGGGGACTGGCTGACCAAGATGTATTTGTACTTGGCATAAGCCAAGTGTAAGAGTGGACATGGATGCCAAGGCAGGCAGGGGCTACAGGGGCCATGCTAACGGGCTGCACCTTTACTCCATAGGTCTTAGGCAGTCATGGAGGGATTTGAACAAGGGATCAGCATGGCCGGAAGTGGCCCCTGGTGGTTGGAGAAGGGTGCTAGGAGGGTGGCCACGGGTGAGGATGGAAGTTGTTTCATAGACCTCTCCCCTTCCTCCAACCTGTCTAGAGCCATCTTGGTGCGGAGAGATGAGATACGGGTGCTGAGTTCTGAGTTCACCCCAGAAACAGAGCGGCAGCGGATCCAGCAGCTGGTAGGTGCCTTGGCAGAGGGACCCCCAACTCCCTGTGTCGAGGGCCACACAGGGCCCTGGGAAGGAAGCCCGATCTCAAATCGACCTCCACACCCTAGGCCTTTATCTACCCTGAGCTTCTGGCTGATGAGTTCACCCGACTGGAGTTCCCTCGGCGGCTGAAGGGGGATGATGTAGGGCAGAAGGTTTTGTTCAGGGATCATCACATGAATGGCTGGTGAGCTGCGGGGATGGGGGCAGGGTGGGAAAAGGTCCAGGCTCATCTGTATGGCCTGAGGCAGCCGCACTTGGGCAAGGTGGGCATGTGAAGGTGTGGTAGCCGGGTTTGAGGATGGGAGAAACTGCAGCAGGGTGTGGGCCTTTGGCTGACTCTAGGTCTGCTCCTGCAGGAGCTACAAACAGGTGGAAAAATCTGACCTCAAGTATCCACTGATTCATGGACAGGGTAGGCAGGTCAGTGCCCCCTGCCCAAGAATCCCTCTTTAGTTGCTCCCTGAAGGTGGGAGCTCCTTTGTCCCTTACTAGTGGCTGTGGCTGGTATCCTCCGTTCCCTCAGATGTTTCCCCCTTAGAAGACCCCGTTCACTTCCCGCTTTGTGCTCAGGAGAGCCGGACCCTGGGCATGTGCTTAAGCTCATCACTATCATTGCATCCCTCCCTTTCCTCCAGGCTCGGTTACTAGGAACACTGGCTGTCTCCCGAGGCCTGGGAGACCATCAGCTCACAGTCCTGGACACCAACATCCAGCTCAAGCCCTTCCTGCTCGCCATCCCACAGGTGATAGCGCAATGTAGCCCACCCCAGGTTCCAATGCCCAGGAGGGGCAGAAAATGAGCCTTGTAGGAGCTAGGAAGGGAGCACTGAAGGATCCTCAGGCTTACCTTGCAGGTGACTGTGCTGGATGTGGACCAGCTGGCACTGCAGGAGGATGTGGTTGTCATGGCAACTGATGGGCTCTGGGATGTCCTGTCTAATGAGCAGGTGGCACAGCTTGTGCGGAGCTTCCTCACTAGGAACCGAGAGGACCCACACAGGTACTGTAGCTGAGGGGGACCTGACTGGACGGTTTGGTCCAGGTAGCTACAGCTGTGAAGACAGTACTAACTCAGGGCACGTTGTCCCGAGGGAGAGGGGATACAATTAAAAAAAAAAAAAAATCTAAATCTAGTCTGGTAATCTAGTTTACGGCCCTTAGTTGTACCACATTTAAGGGGTCTCCAGGTGTCTTGTCCTGTGAAGCAAGTTCTGGAGGGAGAGCTAGCTTTGGCCTTCTGCTTTATCTCCGGAGTACATCTTCAGTAATGTCTTTACAGGTTCTCAGAGTTGGCCAAGATGCTGATACACAGCACACAGGGGAAGGATGGTGCTGCTGGAGAAGGGCAGGTGTCCTACGATGACATCTCTGTGTTTGTGATTCCTTTGCACAACCAGGGCCAAGGGAGCTGTGGCCACTGAGGATCCAGATACCTGCACTCTATGACCTCTTCACGACCAGTGCAGTCTGAGCATACGTCCACTGTGGCCAAGAGCAGGCCCTGTCTGGTCTGTCCCCAGCCACAGCTCAATGCTCTTGCTTTCTGCCTTAACTATTTGTTTCAAAGAGAGCAGTGGGTGGACAGCCTAGCCTACCAGGTCCCACCTTCTGCAATGGTAACATCCTTCTGGCAGAGATACTTTACAAAGTATGGTATCTGTTGGCTCCTCAGCAGCCTAAAGGATTTAAGGTACTAAGATGCCTTGGGGAGCAGGCAGCTAGCTCATTTGGTTCCGACCCATGAATGTCAGGTCATTCATTTAACCATCTGCCCACACAAGGTGCCTTCTTGAAACCTCTGGGCAGTTTCACATCTGCTGGATCAGCTATCTTTTTTTTTTTTCCTCTTTAAGGTAGGGTCTCTAGTACGTAGTTCTGGCTGTCCTGGAACTTGCTATGTAGACCAGGCTGGCCTTGAACTCAGAGATCACCTGTCTCTGCCTCCTGAGCACTGGCGTGCACCACTATGCCTGGCTGGACCAGCCATCTTGAAGACAGATCCTGCCCTGCTCTCTGCCCAGGGAGGGCACAGATTCCAAATAAAGTTGCGAGAGCAAAACAGGGTGAGAAGCTTCCAGAGTTGGCTAGGCCAATTGTCACTGCCTGGATCCTGGCTGCCAGTGATTGCTTTTCCCCGGTCCCAGGCCTGCCCTATACCTATTGCCAACAGTGTCTGTTGTTTCCTAGAACTTACTCCAGGGGCATCTACTTCTCAGCTAGCCAGTTCTGGTTTCTAACCCTCCACTTTGCCTAGCATTGTCCCCTCCCCCTCTGCTGCTCTCCTGTCTACTCTACCCTGCCCAGCCTCCAAGGGTTCACTCACCTCTACCTCCAGCACTGGCCATATAGAGCTTTCCCTGTAGGGACTCAGCCAGCCTCTGATATTAAATGTTTGCATATAAAAGAGCCCTTGTGAATTGTGAGTTGCTCACAGCTTGGTCGACATATTTTGCCGCTTCTTGTGGCCTTTCAGTAGATTCCTTAGTTCCACTTTTGAAGCTTGCATATAATCAGGGCTGTTTCCCATGCTCAGCCCCCTCATTGTTGCCAGGGGATGAAAAGACATTTAATACCTGCGAACTCTGGACTGTAGGTACCATAAGGGCGGCCTTTCCACTTCTTAAAATTGTTTTGCAAGAGTTTCACTATGTAGCCTTGTCAGTTCTGAAACTGTATTGTGGTCTCAACTTTGTGATCCTTTGGCTTCTGCCTCTAGAGTGTAGGCCAGGCTGCTCTGAAACTTCCATAGCCTGAGTCGGCCTCAGTCTAAATACTGAGATTACAGGTGTGGCCCACTACCAGACTCCTCATTTACTTCTGAGTGACCTGGTGCTTGGGCTTTATGAAACTTCACTTTTCATCTTCCCCTTAAGACTTGCCAGCCTAGGCCAGGCGGTAGTGGTGGTGGCAGTGGTGGCACACGCCTTTAATCCCAGTGCTCAGGAGGCAGAGGCAAGTGGATCTCTGTGAGTTCAAGGCCAGCCTGATCTACAGAGCGAGTTCTAGGATAGCCAGGGCTGTTACAGAGAAACCCTGTCACCATCTAGAACTTACTGAGGTTCAGAAATACCTGTTGAAATACAGTACTCATCACATGAGCTTTTACCTGACTCACCCCTAATATTAGGATCAAGGGGGCTTAAGGCAACACACAGCTCTGGATTGCAGCTAGAAAGCTTGTGTAGTTAATTCACCTGGGATGCTCAAACCCCATTTCCTCACCTTAGATTTCATTTTCTGTATGCTACCCAGGGAGGACAGGACCAAACACATTGGTATTTCCCATTTCCTGTGTAACACATAGACAGACCACCAGCTTGCCTCTAAGCCCCAGACAGGTAGCAGGCAGATGCTAGTGTCAAGTGTCTAAAGCTGAATTTGGCTTCCTCTTTCTTCAGCACATCCCTCCACACCCTCTCAGCAAAGTGCAGGCAACATCCTGTGCCTGCCTCTTGCCCACATCAACTGCTGAGCCAGCTCGCCCCCACACCTTACTGCCTGTTCCTCTTGTTCACACACCGAGGGAGTGGGCACACCAGGTCTCTATTGCAAGCATGTTGGAGTAGCAGCTGCAGCAGGCTTTGATTACATTTGTGACTTTTGTGGCATGTATGGAAATCTAAGGACAACTTTTAGGAAGTGGGTTTTCACCTTCCACCATGGGTTCTGGGGACTGAACTCAGGTTGTCATGCTTGTGTGGCAAGAACTTTCAGTTGCTGATTCCATCTTGCTGGATACTCCCACCAGGCTTTGAGGGGTCTCTTAAGAGTAGACCAAGTAGGAAAGCCTGGTCAACTAAACCAAGCCATGTTCTTCCCAAGTGGCAGGCCAAGGTTTTTACCTATTCCGATTCAGGGAAGCAGAAAGTAGGTCCTGGAGTGGCAACAATTCCCAATGCATTAGCCAAGCAGGTGGCTCACGGGGCAGACAGCCGATCCTGCCGGATGCAATGCTCACCTTCCAACCAGGGCCCTAGGATACCAACCTGGTCAAAGTTTGAGGTAAACAGCGAAAGGCAGGCAGTGAGGAGGTCTCTGAAGAATGGGTCTGAGTCAGGCTCACCTCCAGTCACTCATTACTGGCCCCGTGGTAATTTAATTGGAGTCTGGGGTTAAGGGATGGGCCCAGGGGGTTCCTATTGCCCACAGGCCTCAAAGAGGCCCAACAGTTCACACAACATTGCAGGCAGCTCCACCTGAGCCAGAACATTGGAACAGCACATCTCTTCTGATGTGAAGCAGGCAAATAATGTCACAGAGACTCAATGGGAGAGACTGTAAGCCATAAAATTCTGTTTAAGACTGGTAACATGGCAAAAAAAAAAAAAGTTTATGTTAAGTACAAAAGGGACATAAAATTGTATGTACAGTGGGATAACAACTATGTAAACACACCAAAGTCTATGCACAGAGATATCCAGAGGAACATTTAACATCAAAATTAACAGTGGTACCATTTGGGTGGCAAATTGGTTCTTAAAAATCCCCCAATTTCCCTTCATAAGCAGTAGTTGTCAGTTACAACGGGGAATAATTCATTAAAAACCCCAGTGGCTGGTGGTTGAACAGTGCAGTGTCAGCTGCCACACACAGAGCAGTGGCTCTGGCTGACATTCAGAGGACAGTGAGTACATCCCACGGACACACCCCCAGACTGCCATTGCTTTCTCCCTCTTGCTTACCCTGTGACCACATACAGAATCCTAAGTTCTAGCTGGATCTTTCCCTCCCAATTCAGAACTCAGCTCTGCTGCCACAGGGCCCAGCAGAGGCTGTGAGGCAGTATGTCTTCCAAGAACATGGTGCCTCAGCTTTGGACACTCATGAACTCAGTTTCTCTGTGACCAGGCAAGCCGCTCTTTCAGGTTATGCAGCCTTACTAATCCAGAGTTACAGACCTTTGCTCTCAACAGTTCCTCCAAACATGGACTCTTATATCCTGAAGGTAGGCAGTGACATCTCCAATCACCTGGTTCCTATAGTCTGTCCACTCTGAGAAGACAGGAGTGCTCAGCAACACTTAAGAGACTTCAGTGAAGGTGGCCACCTTTTCAGTTGGAATAACAAGTCAAAAAGTAATTGCTTAAAAAATAACGTTAGCGATTCGAAGCCCATGCCTGCTTCTGAACAGAAGCAGTGATGGCCTGACCAACACCCTCGCAGCTGGGTACTCATGGGCAAACCAGCCTGTTGGGTCTTGATTTCTGGAGCTGCAGGGGTACTGCTCGCTTATGTCAATGTCTGACTACCGTTTGTTCGCCTCCGAGGTGGCCATACTGGGAAGAAAAGGTCAGCTGCAGCTCTCCTCAGTCTGTCCTAGCCTTCTCTCAGGAGAAAGCAAGAAAAAGGGCAACCATGCCGACACAACAGGTGAGGAGTCCTGACAAACTAAAAACACTGGTTCTAGCACCCTGTCCCCAAACGCCACAAGCCAGGCACAGAAGCCATGCAGAAGTGACTGTCACACATATACAGGTGCAGACAGAGCATAATCAGGCAAAAAAAGATTCTAATACTGTAGAGAGGGCCCCGAAGTGTGGCTTGAAGAGCACAGGGAGTTATCCAAGGCTCTTACTTAGCTGCCATGAAAACAGCAAACACTAGAAGCTCTGCTTCACGTTGTCTCCCGAAGGTTAACAGAGTAGACTAACACTTGTGGCAAACACTACCCACAAAGAGTCTTTCTCAGCTGCAGGGTTCCCTCTCCTGCTGAACTCTTGATAAACTAGATGAGAGAGAATTTAATTGGACACGCACACTGTGCTCAAATACAAACAGATCAAGGGTCATATATAAAAAGGCTAAATATAACATATAACACAGGCCTAGAGCCAGCTCTTGGGTAAGAGCTGGGGAAGAGGGGTATCATCTGCTGACTATGTACACAATTCGCGGTGGGCAGGGAAGGAAGGCATCAGTGTAAACAACTCAGACTCATTCCACAATACTGGCCCACAGGAAAACGTGATGTGACTCAGGTACAAAAATAAACTCCTACCTTGCTTTTGTACAAGCCAAGCTCAGTAGGATCCCCACAAAGACTGTGGGGCTGTCTTGATGGGGGAATTGCACCAGGCTGTTAAACCTTTCAGCTCTCAGAATTTACCTGCTACTCCCTTCCCTCCCTTTCAGACGCTTGGGCCTTTTGCTAGCCAACATCCAAGCCCAAGACCTGCCCCACCCACCTACACAGGAATACTGTAAAGCGTCCTGACAAACAAGGTCCTTCTCTATTTGTCCCTTTCTTTGACCCCAAGGTATATGAAGACTTATTTTTGTAAATGTTTGGCACCTAAGAAACATGATGGTTGTGGAATAATGCCACAATTACACAGGGAGACCCAGTAACAAGACATGCAGGGTGAGGGCAAGAGGTGCTGAGCTGCCCTAGCATTTCAAAACCAGAACTGTGGCTTCCCATGCATTTCTGGGGTGGGAGAAGGATGTGCGGAAATTGGTGACGTCACTGGCTCTTCAGCAGCAAATATATTCAAAATTGAAGGGGCTCAAGGGCCTCACTGTAACCTAATCATAAGTAATCACCCTCTGAAGAGCTTGGTGCACTGAGAGCTGGAAAGGCCAAGTGCCAACTGAATCTGCAGCACCAAGAGTCCTTTGGAAGGCGCTCAGCAAAGTAATTCTTTAGAGCAGATGGACAGCACATCCCTGGGAAGGCCATGTGGAAAGATGTCTCCAGTCCAGTCAAATGATCCAGTCAGTCCCACTGCCACCTCAGTCACCTCTGACTTTTTCCTGTTGGACGCCCTCACTGTACAAAGAGCCGAGCAGTGGCAGGATCAGTCATCAATGGTGGGCAACCAGAAGGCCTGGAAGGAGAACACAAATCAGCTTTTTAAAAAGCCAGGCTTCTCCTCACTATGGAAGGTTGTTCTTCCCCACCTCACAGCATCAAGGAGCCCAACCCCAATGATGAAGGAATTACAGTCTGGTGGCCCTTACTCCTGATCAAACCATTGTTTCTACTGAGCCAGAAACACTTTGAAAGTTGGTTCTGTTTATTTCCAACATTCACTCCTGTGGGTAACCTGGCCTCACAGCTAATCTCAAGGTGGCCTCAATCATACCCTTTCCTTCCAGAATCTGAGAAGAAAGAAGGTTTGGATGAGATGGTTTTGCTGCCTTTGAGAGCTGAGTGGCTTTCTGGTTTTACATGATCTCAAACTCACTATGTAACCAAAGATGACCCTGAATTGACCTTCAGGCCTCTGCCATCCAAATGTTTAGATTACAGGTGTATACCAACACATCCAGCTTAGTTTCCTTCTGGCCTTCCAGTACTGGAAGACTGAAGGCAGGGCTTCATCCATGGCAGGCACGTGCTCTAAGTTGTATTGCCAGCCACTGTTGTCTTTCTTCTGATACTATCTTCTTGGTTTCTAAAAACA